TCCAAGAGCCCCCAGCCAGCTACAGAACATGGCTTGGATCCACCAGCCTCCAGCTGGGGCTATAACCGTGGCTTAATGCTCATCCCCCACCTGCTTGGTGATGAGAGCCCTTTCCTTAAGGCCGGAGCTGCTCCCACAGCAGGGCAGGAACTCCACCAGCCCCAGGTTTTCTAGGGAAAGGGGTTGGGAGACAGCCTTTAGCTACAAGAGGTGCGGGATGGACCTACGTTCCTCACCACCACCAGCCTCAATCAGCAGCAGCGAGATGTGATGGGAACACAGGGAAGGTCGCAGTGCCCATGGGTGACCATGGATGGGGGATAAGGGTGCTGGTGATGGGCAGAGAGAAGGAGGATGGAAGAGCTGTTGGATTAACTGATGTTTGTGTTTTACTCTTGGTCTGCACAACCTACAGGTCCCCTAAGAAATCCCAAAGGAGGAAAGGGACCAGAGAAGGCAAACTGGAGAGCTGGGTGCTACTGGAGACTCCTCTGCCATCTATGTAAGGGTGCCCCCCAGGGAGGGGGCTCCTGACCCTAAAAGATGTTCCAGGTGGGGATGCAGGATCCATCCCTGGGGCACAGCAAGGGGCTCTCTGGCATACAGCTGTTTCCAGGGCATAGGGGTGGCTCTTGGAGGCCATTCCCAGGGCTGAGGCTCTGACCTGCTCTATGGGGAGGACACAGACTGCGATGGCTGATGTGATTTGGGGTCTGGCTGAGGTCTCACTGTCCCCTTCCCAGCCATCAGCCCCATAGGGTGCCGTGGCTTCAAACAGCAAACGCACATGTTGGATCGCTGCCTGCCCTTCTTCTGCCTGCACAGCCTCTGCGGGCAGGGGGATCAGCCAGGAGCCAGGAGCAATGGGGGAATGGGTGGCCAGGCTCAACCTGAGCTGTCGGTGACCTCGCAGTGATGGAGAGGTCTCTACAGTCCCTGCCAGGAGTTGTTTCACCCACCCTGGTCTCCAGGTTTTGGATGCTCTGAAGCTTGAACAGAGGCTGCTGCCTCTTCCCCACCTTGCCCTGCATGAGGAACCGAAGCCTTGGTGTGAGGAAGGTGTTTTCAACCTGCAGCCCTTCACACAACCCCACCACGTGCCGTGGTGATGGGGGCAGCTACCACCAGTGCTACCACACCACGTCCCTTCCCCGTGGCCTGCCCTGAGCCACCCCCTGGGGCCGCCCTGTCCCGCAGTGGCAGAATCCAGCACACGGACAAGGGAGCATCCCTGTTTTCAAGCCTCCCGTCGCCGCTGCCCTTCTCCCCCGCATTTTTCCAGCCTTGACAAAAAAACCCATCACTTTGCTGCTCGGTTTCCTTGGCAACCCCATTTCCCCATCCTCTTGCTCAAAGCCTCGCTAAACCCCCAGGTCCCCAAAGCACGGTGGTGGGGACCTTGTCGGCAGGGATGGAGTGGGATGTGGTGAGTCCTGAGCCCCATCCCAAGAGGGCTGTGGACCCTTGGCCGGGGCTCTCCAAGCACTTGGGCTTCTTGGAAAGGGGACGGAGCGGCTGTTGGGAATTGTGTTGGAACCAAACTGAATCCATGCAGTTCTGGAGCTGGTCTCTACGCATCCTGTGCTCCCCTGTGTGCTCCCCAACCCTGGGCACTGGGACCCCCTCAGCACCAAGGAGATGCTGGACCCCTCTGAACCCTCTCTGGGGTGATTCTGTGGCTGCACAGCCCCCCAGGAGGCTGGCAGTGTTTTGGGGGCTACTTCTGGCTCACGGGAGCATCTCCCATTGGGCATTAAACACAACCTTGTGCATGTCTTGAGCTGCGGCATCACCATCTAGTGCGTGTCGGGATGGCTGCGTGCACGTCCCTGGGAGGGACACAGCCTCCCTCGGCTCAAGTGTGCACCCACCAATGCATTTGATGGGGTCTGACCCTCATTAGGGCTGCCCCACAATTAGCCATCAGGCCCTGAGGTCCCCCAAGCCACCGCACCAGCTCCCCGGCCTCGCAGTGGCTGGAATCCCAAGTGATATTTATCCATAGCTCCATCAGCTGTTCAGTTTTCCCTCTCAAAGGTCAGGAGACTTGGCCTGATGTTCCCTCTGGCAGCTTGTCCAAGTAACAACCTTATTCCTCACCCCAGCACCATGGGAGCCTCCCATGCAGCCGGCTCTTAGCCTTGT